AAACAACAACAAAATAAGTGAGCCAAGGATTTGAATAGACATTTCTCAAAATAACACATACAAAAGGCCAACAGGTATATGGAAAAAAAAAAAGTTCAACATCACTAATCATCAGGGACATGCAAATCAAAACCACAACATGATATCATCTTACATCAGTCAGAAAGGCTATTATCAAAACAGAGAAGAAATGAAAAATGCTGGTAAAGATGTAGAAAAAGGGAACTCTTATATCCTGTTTGTGGTAATGTAAATTAGTACTGCCACTAAAGAAAACAGTATGATTTCTCAAAAAAACCAAAAACAGAACTACCATATGATCCAGCAATCCCACTACTGGGTATTTATTCAAAGGAAAGGAAATTAGTATATCCAAGGGATACTTGCACCCTCATGTTTACTGCAGCGCTATTTCCAATAGCTGAGTTATGGAATCAACCTACATGTCCATTAGCAGATGAATGGATAAAGAAAATGTGGTATATATACATACAATGAAATACTATGCAGCCATAAAAAAAGAACAGAGTCTGTCATCTGCAGCAAGACAGATGGAACTGGAGGTCATGTTAAGTGAAATAAGCCAGGCATAGAAAGACAAATATTATATGTTCTCACTCATATGTGGGAGCTAAAATGTTGATTTCATAAAAGCAGAGAGTAGAATGATTAACAGAGTCTGAGAAGAGGAAGTGAAGAAAGTTTGATTAATGGGGACAAACATACAATTAGGTGTGTTCTAAGTTAGATACAAAGTTCTCATTTTTGCCAGCACAGTAGTGTGAATCAACAAAAATTTATTCTGTATTTCAACATAGCTAGAAGAAAAGATATGAAATCTACCCAACACAAAGAAATAATAAATGTCTGAATGATGGATATTCTAATTACCCTGATTTGATCATTACACACTGTATGCATGTATCAAAATATTGCACTTACTCCCTATATATGTGCAATTGTTAAGTATGAACTAAAAAAAAACAAAAACAAAAACAAAACCAGAAAACCATGACTGACAACTGTCTTTTGTCTCCTTTGCAAGTTTACCCATTTCTTAGCATAAAGATAACACTAAATGTATTTTTCAAATAAAGTAATTACCTTTGAATTACTTTGGCAAACTAAAAAGTAGACAAAATACTTGTGAGCTTAACACTTTTTTGTGTGCTAGGGCGTGTTCTCTGTATGGGTTTCCTGCTGCAGATGACAGGACTCTGTTTTTTTTATGGCTGCATAGTATTTCATTGTGTGTATGTATACCTTGAGATGAAGGTTAACTGAAGCCACCTCCTTCTTAGCACTATATTTTGCAGATTATTAAACCAACTTTTACCTTTGGTACTTCAATGCAGCAGTAGAAGGTATATTGCCTATTCCTTCACAGGCATTTTGTACAGACCTTCTCCTAAGTCTCATTTCTGAGAAAAGGGATTATTTCCAGTTCATTTCCTCAACTACTAGTTAAAGGCTTTTTGTATGTTGCTGAAGTTTATTTCTCACTTGAAAAGTAGTTATGCACTGGCCTCCAAAATTACTGAAATGATTTCATAAAACTCTTTATACTTTCTTTTTGTTTCTTCAGAGCATACATGGGAAACTTACTACACCATCAGCCTCAAACAAGGGAGAATTTGACAATGGACTCTATCCCAGAGTTATTGTTTGGCTAACAACAATTACTTTCTTAGATTTTTCACCTTTTCTTCAACAACATTAGGACTGGATGTTGTCTTTCTTTGTAGGACCCTTTGTAAAACAAAAGATAATTTGTATATCTCTTGAGATTTATTACAAATGCAACTGATGGAGAATAGTGAGATTACATTGAGGTGAGGCTGCAAGGCAGTAGGCTAGGCATAGCTTTAGGATTTCTGTAGTGACTTGGATATCCAAAATTATGACAATTTATTCAAATTTGGGCTCTCACAAAATAATAAGGTTTTACCTTAAATGAAACTTCAAGATCACCCAAAGATAGCTGAGGCAGAAAACATTAAATCTGTAAATGCCAATGACCAGATATCGCAAAACTTAGGGATTTTACTTGAAATTCTATGAGCCTTTGAATAACTGGATTTTAGAGTAAGCATTTAATATAATTCAATATATATATTTTTCCATCTGTTAAAGTCTATAGAGAACAGATTTTTTATTTGCTCTAAGAAAGAAATTGAAGGCTTAGTTTGTTGAAAGTTATCTGACATCAAATATCAAGACCAACCATGAGAATTGTTAATTTGATGCTCAGACCTTTGCATTCATTGGCTTTTCCTCTCCTTGGAGCATTAATTTTGAGTACAAAAGAATCCATCAAATATCTCTGATGCCAGACTTTATGATTGCTTTTCAAACAAGTTTTTCATGTTCTTTCCTTCTTATAAATAGCCCTCTTCATTGATGAAGTCTGTTTCCTTCCAGAGACCAGAGAAAGAGGAGGAGTTTGATATAAATTGTGAAATCACCCATACATGTGATATCTGTGGGAGAATTTCAGGTATATAGAGTTATATATATATAGTGTGTGTGTGTATGCATGCATGCATGTGTGTGCATGTGTGTATGTGTAAACAGGTTGTCCAGGTCTTTTACTGTTCTATCTTCTTTGAGACAAATACTTCTGATTACTTCACTACTGGAAATGAGTCCAGGGAAAACAATCAGCAGAATTATTCTACTTTCTATTCATCAGGTTTGCTAAGATGAAAAGGCCTTGAACAATAGCATGCATTATAGATTCTAATCTATTACAGTGACTCTGGGATATCAGTGGAGATTTCTATGTACAAAGGAAAATTCAGTTCTACCTTCAAAACTTTATCCTTGTGGGTTTTTGTTTGTTTGTTTTTAGAGACGGGGTTTCACCATTTTGGCCAGGCTAGTCTTGAACTATTGACCTCGTGATCTACCTGCCTCGGCCTCCCAAAGTGCTGGGAATACAGGCATAAGCCACTGCATCCAGCTATCCTTGTGTTTCATCCTTCAAACAACATATACAGGTATTGATCTACTTGTGACCTGTGCAATTTACGACCATTCGACTTTACGACCACAATACCTAGCCACGACTGCTCCGCGTCTGGCAGCGCAAATGTTGCCCAGCTGGGCGTACGACACTGTGGATCAGCTTCTGGCAGCACTACCATCTCCGCATGCATTTAGCCTACTCAACTTACGACCAAATCGTGTTACGACTGGTCTGTCAGAACCAATCGTGGTCGTAAGTCGAGCACTAGCTGTATATGAAAATTAATCATGATTCAACCCTCCAAGAACACCACAAAATTTACCAAACATGCTTCTACTATTTCAAGAAAAACTGAGTCACCTTAAAAAAAAGTTACAGATTTTGTTTTTTAAAATATATGTTTTGTGGTTATTCTAAAGTCAATTTAAAGCTGTGGTATTGTTATAAATGCTACGTTCCTGAGAACAAAAGCAGTAATAACACTGTAATTTAGGCAATAGCAAATAACTCTCTAATCTTTACAAAGGAGATTTATTTCCTGTTTTTACTACATGTCCACTCTGGGTAGGTGGGAAGGTGGGGAGTTGTGTCTCACATTATTCTCACTCAGGAACCTAGTCCGATGGAGACCTCACCATCTGGATATTGTTAGTCACTGTGGTGGGGGAAAAGGAAATAAATAATTATGCACCAGCTCTAAAATGCTTCTGTGCAGAAGAGACATATGTAACTTTACTCACATTTTATTAACCAAAGTCACATGGACATTCTTCAAGAAGGGCTGAGCCTGAAAGTAGAAGACAACTGAGTATTAGTGAACAGGAGTCATACCTATTATAACTATTTGCATTTTTTGTAGGCTTCTCTACTTTTTGAGGCACTGACACATCCAAAGAAGAAAGCAATTGCCTATCAAAATGTTCATGCTCCATTCTCCACCCATAGGACCAGCTTCAGGGTCCACTAGACCCTGAGGGGTATGTGATCTATGCTCAGAAGGGCCCCACAATTGGGGTTTAATGTTTGCTACTGCTGTTTTAAAATTCTTAATCACCTTATCTTTGAACTTATATTCTATAAATGAAGTCCAATGGTGCATGCTCCTGAGCAGTGGAGATATACACAATATGCATCTCCTCTACTGTTCCTTAACATGCCATTTGCATATAGCATTCATATCTCGTGATCACAGAATTCTAGTGGACTCAATGTGTGGGAGCTTACAGCAAGTACAAGGTAAGTTTTGTCTACCACTGAGTAAGCAGTGGTGCTAAAAGCTCCAACGGGTTCCAGCACTTGCACTAAACCTAGGAGGAAGGAAATGGTTGTCAAAGAAACGCCAGTGACCAAGGAACATTATCATATCCCTTCTAACTCTTGCTGCTTTCCTGTATTAGCTGACTGTACATGCTAAAAATGATGACATAGAAAGTAAGGAAAGATAAGGCAACAAATAGTTCCTCCTTCTTTCTGTCCTTTCCTATTTATCATCAGTAGCTTGAAGGAAGAGAGTGTTAGTAGAATGTGTTCATATCAAGATACAAAATAAAGACACTTAGTTTTGTGAGGCCTCCACTGTTCTGGTTAAGAATAAAATACATATGCATGTACAAACTATGAAATATGAATTGTGTAACTTTAGTGATTCTGCATATAAGTTAAATGCTCTTATATTTATTTGCATTTATAACTGTTATTGTACAATATAAAGAAGAATGGTAAATTTTATGTTCATAATTTAAAATTCTACTTTCTCTTAACTTAGATGACATTAAACAGCAAATAAAATACCATGACAAGTGGAAAGAAAGGCCACAGAAGAAAGTTTTGTTTTTGTTGTTGTTGTTTTGTTTTTTGTTTTTTGAGACAGAGTCTCACTCTGTCATGCCACTGGAGTGCAGTGGCATGATCTCAGCTCATGATTCTCCTGCCTCAGGCTCCTGAGGAGCTGGCATTACAGGCACGTACCACCATCACACATGGCTAATTTTTGTGATTGTTTTTTTTAGTAGAGATGGAGTTTCACCATGTTGGCCAGACTGGTCTCAAACTCCTGACCTCAAGTAATCCACCCTCCTCAGCCTCCGAAAGTGCTGGGATCACAGGCATAAGCCACCACACCCAGCCTATTTTAGTTTTCTTAACAGCGCTTTTTTACTGCTTTATGAATGAAGGGTGCTGCATTTTCATTTTGCACTGGGCCCTGCAAATTATATAGCTGACTCTGCCCATTCACAAGTTCCAGAGATGCAAGGTAAAAGAAGATTCATTTGAGGTAGAAAGTGTGAGCTCAGAGAGACCTTATAGATCATCTAATCCAGAGATTTTCAAAACCCTTTGTAGCAGTAGAACCTGTTCTCTAGGTTACAAGTCAAAAATGCAAAACAGATATATGCAAACTGCTTTGGTTTGGAGGGGAGGGTTGGCAGGCTGTCCTCTGACTTCTCTAACCCACATCAAGGCAGCTTTTTGAGTGGTAATGGGAGAGTCTCTATGAAACCCCTAAGATTCCTCAGAGCACAGAAAAATCTCTGATCGAGAAGGGCTGGAAAGAGGGATTGAATTTAAGAAACATCCTCAAGGTCACAATCTCCTAATTACTAATCCAGCCCTCTTTCTTCTGCTTCCTATTGGCACCCAGAGCAGCAACCCATCTGAAAGTACGAGGAGACCATTTGGTGGCCCTGGCACATTCGTGATAATTTCATCTATAAAATGAGATTGATAATACCTACCTCAGGGAGTTTTAAGAACTAAGTGAGATATACTGTACCTAAGTAAATGCTCTATAATAATTACCCGCAACTTCATCATAATTATTATTCAAACCCAGAGTCCTAACTTGCATTAAAATTAGTGGGAGCTGTAAAATTTTTGTTGTTTTATTTGTTTTTAAATTTTTTATTTTTACTTGTGGTAAAATACACATAATACAACATTTACCATCTTAACAATTTTTAAGTGTACGATTCAGGAGCGATAAGTATACTTCCATTGTGGGAGACCAAAATACACTGCCTCAACATATGAAGAATTGTTGAGCTAAAGACAATCAAGAAGAAGCCCATGCAGGAAAGCTCTCTGCCCTCCCTCTACATATCTGAAAGCAGGACTTAGATTTAGAAAGACAAAGGGTGTATCCTTGCTCCTTCTCTACCAGGGAGGGCGAAGGTTAACGCTGAAGACAACTTTACACCCTCATAAGCCTGGAGATGATACCAGAGGAATTGACATTACCAAGCTTTCCTAACTTGCCTTTATCTGCCATTTATTTGCCTTCTTTCCAAGTTGCTGCCTGTAGAAACTCAAAGTTCTTTTCCTTTGTCTTGTCACTTATCTAAAAACCTACTGTTCTTTGGCTGAGTACGGTGGCTCACACCTGTAATCCCAGCACTTTGGGAGCCAAGGCAAGTGGATCACTTGAGGTCAGGAGTTTGAGACCAGCCTGACTAAAATGCTGAGACCCCGTCTCTTTCTAAAAATACAAAATTAGCTAGGCATGGTGGTGCACGCCTGTAATCCCAGCTACTTGGGAGGCTGAGGCAGGAGAATCACTTGAACCCTGGGAGGTGGAGGTGGCAGTGAGCCGAGATCATGTCATTGCACTCCAGTCTGGGCAACAAGAACAAAACTCTGTCTCAAAAAAATAATAAAATGAAAAATAAAATAAAATCTTACTGTTTTTTGTTGAAGATGCTATATAAGCTGGAATTCAAAGACACCTCTTTGAGAACTACTCATTCCCTTTGTGCGTCCCATGTATATATAAAATGTACATGTTAACAAATGTCTGTTTGTTTTTCTCTTCTTAATCTGTCTTTTCTAGCAGTGGTGCATTCCAGCTAAGAACCTATGAGAGTTGCAGAAAAACTCCTATGATATGTTGGGCAACCAATCTTCACAATTTTTTTAATCTTGCAAAACTGGAATTCTATACCCATTAAACAATTCCCCATGCCCCCTCCTCTCAGACCCAGACAACCTCTATTCTACTTTCTGTCTCTATGAATGTGACTACTCCAGAAACCTCATGTAAGTGGAATTATACAGTATTTGTCCTTTTGTGACTGGTTTATTTCATTTCACATAATGTTCACAAGGTTCCTCCAAGCTGTAGCATGTGTCCAAATATACTTCCTTTTTAAGGCTGAAGAATGTTGTATAAAAAGGTTTGGTGGGTTTTTTTGTTTTTTGGTTTTTTTTAGAAAGAAAGTACTTATCATAAAAGTCAGGAGTGTAGGAACCTCTATGTGGGGAGAAGGATGTGATTGAGAAAGAACACACTGGTGGGACTGGCATTAGGATAGTTACTCTATACCTGGCAGTGCCCTATTATTTAACTTGGGTTACATAAATATTTGTTGCTATAGACTGAATTGTATCCTCCTCTAAATCCACATGTTGAGATCCTAACTCCCAGTGTGATTGTATTTGGAGAGGGTCTTTCGAAGGTAAGTAAGGTTAAATGAGGTCATAAGGATGGGACTCCAATTAAATAGAACTGGCCTTATAAGAAGAAAAAGAGATCTCCCTCTCTCTCTAACATGTGGGGACACAGCAAGAGGGTGGCTGTCTGCAAGCCAAGAAGAGAGCCCTCACCAGAAGCCAAGTTGGCTAGCACCTTGATCTTGGACTTCTCGGACTCTAGAACTTCAAGAAATAAATATCTGTTATTTAAGCTACCTACTCTGTGGTATTTTGTATGGCAGCCTGGGCAGACTAATTACATTCACTTTATTATTCATATTATAATTTATATTTTTTGCACCTTTCTGAGTATGTGTAATATTTTACCAAAAACAACTTAAGAAATTATTAGAGGTTTTTTTTTTTTTCTTTTTTGGAGACAGAATTTAGCTCCTGCTGCCCAGGCTGGAGCACAATGGCACAATCTCGGCTCACTGAAACCCCTGTCTCCTGTGTTCAAGGGATTCTCCTGCCTCAGCCTCCCGAGTAGCTGGGATTATAGGCGTGTGCCACCATGCCCAGGTAATTTTTTCGGTATTTTTAGTAGAGACAGGGTTTCACCATGTTGGCCAGGATGGTCTTGATCTTCTGACCTCATGATCCACCCGCCTCGGTCTACCAAAGTGCTAGGATTGCAGGCATGAGCCACCGCACCCGGCCCTGGATATTGTTTTTGTATTTTTAATAGAGACAGCGTTTCAGCATGTTGACCAGGCTGGTCTTGAACTCCTGACCTCAGGTGATCCACATGCCTTGGCCTCTCAAAGTGCTGGGATTATAGGCTCCAGCCACTGCACCCAGCCTACTAGAGATGATTTTTATTGTTGTAAACTAATATTGCTTACAGGACTCTTTCCCTGCCTACTTGTATAATGCAGTGACTAAGACAAAGCTATCAGGCTGCCTGATGCAAGCCTGGTTCTTCCTTCCATTTAATAGCTGGGTGCTTGGGCAAGTGACTGAAACTCTCTGCGTCTCAATTGTCTCACTTCAAATAGCATCTGGATCACAGTGAGTGCTCAGTAAACTTTAGCTGTTACTAATATAGTATTCAAATCATTTTTAATGCTGACATAAAACTTTATTAATGTTTAAGGCAGCAGCTCTTAAATCCAGGCCAGTCTAATAAAATTTTCATACATTGGAAACAAAAGGAGGGAACAGAATGAGTTTTTCTATACAGTTATTTCTATATCATTTTATTTGACAATTGTTTCTATTTTTCATAAAGTAAAATTTGTCCAATCTCTTAATAAATGACGTCAATTATAGATGCTAATTGCTTTATTAATGACTTTACTTAGCAAAACTAAAAATCGGCTATCATTTTTTTCCTCCCAATTTTTTTGTTGTTGTTATTCTCTGTAACATTTTTTAAACCAGAGAATTACTGCTCTAAAATATTTCTTTGAAGGACTTAAGCTACCCTTTCTGCCCTCACCAGCTGGCCCACACATTCCCCTGCTCCATCTCCCCTGCCTTTATAGTATAGCCCAAGATAGCCTGGATTAGAACTGTCACTCTGCAAAGGATTTGTGTGCCCATCCACAGCTGGGCAGAGAGGTTTCATTAGAAAATAGCATCTTCAGGCCTATGCTCTTTCCCCATGGCATTAGGTATTTTTCTCTGTGCCCGTAGACTTGAGCTGGCTCGGCCCTCTCCAGCAGCCACGTGGAGCCTTGTCATCCTAGGGCTCCTGTCCTGCCCCATTGTTTCCATTGCCTTTTTTTCATTTTTCTCACTTTCAGAAGGGGGCTCTTCCCAGGCAGAAGCCTCTCCTCATTCTCCTCTCCCTCCCTTTCTAGACTTGTGGTGTGTGTTGTGGCCCTTAACAGGGCAAGGCCAAGGCCAAGGCCAAGACCAGAGGAAGACATGGTATATGACCAGGAGCACACCCTGGGGCAGAAGCAGCACGAATTCCAAGCTGCCCCTCACAAACATCCCAAAGAGCCTTTTCATGCTTGGGAACTCACACTAAGAAATGCAAATTAAAACTGAAGAAGTTGGCAACACACTGTGCTGGCTAATGTGTAGAAAATAGACACTGTCATATATTACTGCATTCTAGAAAAGTATCCCATAACTGGCACAGTGGCTCTCGTCTGTAATCCCAGCACTTTGGGAGGCTGAGGTGGGTGGATCACCTGAGGTCAGGAGTTCAAGACCATCCTGGCCAACATGGTGAAACCCCACCTCTACTAAAAATACAAAAAATTAGGTGGGCATGGTGGCGAATGACTGTAATACCCGCTACTCGGGAGGCTGAGGCAAGAGAATTGCCTGAACCTGGGAGGCAGAGGTTGCAGTGAGCCGAGATCATGCCACTGCACTCCAGCCCGGGCAACAAGAGTGAAACTCTGTCTCAAAAAAAAAAAAAAA